ACCGGCGCGCAAGTCTTATTGATGAGACTGTCAGGGGCATGTGTCTGTGTCTTGTGTTGACTGTCGGGATTGCGATTGAGCCACACGAATTTGGTTTTAGGGTTCATAGGTGGCCATTCATGCAGTTGCTTTGTAGCCTCTTTACTGGACTTGGAGACTCCTCCATTGCCTTCAGCACGCTGTGTACCACGAATGGCTTCGCCATGACCATCATGACAGCATCCTGCCTAAACCTTGAACCCTAAGCCCTACACCAGAAACTGTGTAGACCCAAGTGCGGCACGACAACGTGCGCCCTAGCCACGGGTGGGCCATGCGCAAGCGCGGTGCCTCAGGTGAAGGGTGCAGTTGAAATTTCCCTGCGTACCCTACTTGGAGGTCGGGTGGACATAGTAAGTAGGTTAGCAACCCCAATAACACATATAGTAACCCCAGTTGTCCCTATTACTAACCTACTTACTAAGTCCCCCTGACCCTCCAAGTAGCATTACCATCCTCCCATGGATCCCTCTCTACCTACAGTCCCTTCATGCTTCCTCAATGCAGTCGCCTCATGTCTGTAAAGCAATTTTGCTGGAGAGCTTTGCCTGATTGATGCCTTGCAGGGGTCAGGAAACATATTTTGGGATGTGAAGGGATTTAAACTAAGAGGGTAAACGGATTGTCTGAGGAAGCAGCCGTATCCCTGCTGCACAGGCAGTCGCGCCGCCATTGCGCGGACAGGGGCGTACCTTTAATTACCCTGAGACCTTGAAGATGTTGAGTTCTAGGCGTTCTGGGCCGCATCTGCGTCGGAGTTCCGCTAGAAATTCTCCATCCTCTAGTTGCACTTAGGGTGCCATTCTTTCTGAACTCAAACGCTCTCAACACGGGAGAAATAAGCCCCACCAAGCCCTCATTATGCCCGACTTTTTCTGGCTCAGCCTAATTTGATCCCCTGCGACCTGTACTGCCCTGTGCCAGCCAACTACGGCGAGCTGATTTGAGCGCATTTCAGAACAAACTCTACATTATCCTACGCAAGCTTATTGCAAAACACCCTTGCCATCTGTAATCTAAAACTTGCGCTTCCCCTACTTGGACACTAGCTTTGCTAGAAGCCCCTCAAATACCCGCAGGAAGCCCATTTTGCGGGGTAAGGGCTTCCTCGAAAACACTGGGGAAGGCGGGGGGGATAGTAAAACTAATTCTGTTTAGAAGTCTGGGGTAGACGTGCCCCTGCCAAGAGATGTAATTCGATTTGAACTCATACCTAACACTAAGGGCCGCGCTAGTCACTGCTAGTCTCTATGACTCTATGCCAGGCCTGAACTGGATCGGTCCTAAGGCTTACCTTGGCAATGTCCCCAAATGTTGACCGCCACTTCTGGGTACACTTCAGTCTGCCCCTCTCAGTAAACTTTGGGGTGTTAACGTAAAAATATGAACCTTTGGCTTTGCGAAGCAGAGGCAAGCGTGGTCCTGCTGTGAATTGAGTCCCATCCTTGACCAGCTCATAATTCAAAATAATCCCTTCCCCTAATAGTTTCCCCCCCCCCAACCCCCCTAATGTTCAGTACTCCCAATATACTGTCGACATACTATAGCAGACCACAATAGGAAAATATTAGGGGGAAGGGATTGGGGTTCCTGTTCCTGTGGCAAGGACATCGAGGGAAAGCTTATCCGCAAGCATATCCAACTTGCTCCAGAAGCGCCTCTACTTGAAGCCTGGGGGATTTTGACAGTAGCTGTACATCTAAACTTGTTGGTCGGAGGTCCACTTCGAAGGTTAAAGAAGGCAAATAATTCCTCTTGCCACCTAAGGTTAGAAGGTGCTATGACACCCCTTTCATGAGTATCCAAATACTCTGGTGTATACAATGAATCCCGACTTTTAGAAATGGAAGCTCGAACTAAAGACCCTCTGCCAAGTCCTTGCTTGGAGCCATTATTGAAATTGATGCATCTGGGAGCTTCTCAGTACAACGTTTCCTTAGAGATCCTACATGGAAGATTGTCAAAATGATCGGGACCTCAGTTTTGGCGGTACCCAAAGTGACCAACAATTTCGACAACCCCCAGATGGAGCTGTAGAGAATCAATTCCCAGAAGCTAATTCCCGTCTGTTATTCAGTGGAAGGGTGGGGTACTGGATGATCGGTTCCAGGCATTTCATAGAAAGACCGAAACGGAATCTGCTACCCTGTGACGTATACAAGAAGCAGCCCAAAACGTAAACAACGTGAGGTGCAGGGAAGGGTATGTAGGTACCCTCATATGGGTTACGTGCTGGGAATACATACGGGCTGTTGGAGGTCCACTTCCACATTCCAGCTTGGGTACTGCTGAGAAACGGGCATGAAGGGAAGGTTGCATGGGAACATGAAGCTGCATTACTTCGGAGGGCGTGGATTGGACGTTTAGGTTTAAGGTTTGACCCGAAAACTCTAGACCTAGACCGAAACGACTCCGACGGTCACCAGACTGTATGATATTTCATGAGAATCTTTACGGCCCTGTAGCATCCTATTTTCGATCTAGAACGCACTTCCACAGCAACCCTAAGCCCTAAACTCCGGTACCTGAGAAGCCTGCACTGGTCCAACGTTTGAGCTTGGACAGGCAACACCTGCTGTTGGGGGACTTGGCCTTTTATCTAGGAAGGACCGCTGACTTCATGGCCAGCTTTGTGCCTTTTGCATCGTATATGGGGCTATACAAGGCGTGTATAATGGGTGTATAAGGGTAAAACTCAATCTTTTCGGAAAAAAAGTCAAGCCAAAAAAAGGCGGTTTGGAACTTAATGAGCCCAAACACGTGGAGATTTCTGCGCTCGTGCCTTAGGGTCCAGACGAGCTTAGGGCTTGGCTTGGATAAGGGGCCAGTTCAAGGGTTTTCCTCGAACGCTTGTAGCTGACCGTTTGCTCTGGAAAACCTTTCAGGGAGTGATCCTGGGCACTTTTAAATCATCATATACTTGGCAGTACGTCTCAAATGAACATATGGGCTGGTGAAATTCTGCGTAGATGGATTTCATTGAAGGCTTGGTACGAAATGAGATCTATGGATATTTACGGGTGTGGATAAGCCCATCGGAGATGCCTTGAATTAAGATTTCGACGAGGATCTGCTCATTGCTTCTTTTGGGACATAACAGGGATGCCTAGTCACAGACTGTGCCAGAAGCGGAGTCTGTTGGATCCAAAGCAAAAAAGCAACATCTCCTGCTGTCTGGAAGTTTGAGAGTTCGGGGTGTATGCGGTGGTGCCAAAACAGGCTGTGCCACAACGGATTTGTTGAGTGGTGGTTGAAACCTCGCAGTTGATGTGCTGAAGGTGTCTTGAAGGACTGATAATTTCCTCAAAAAGGGTTGGCGCTACACACCCCGAAATAGTATAATCATTCGATTCTATTGGGAGCCCCAAAACCACATGATTTTTGGAAACCCCCGAAAGCAGCCATCCAGCTTTCACCCACAAGTGCTCAGACCTGCCAGGTTGGGATCACGAGATGACCCGGCTTAGGGGATCCCTAAACCCTACTAACTACCAAACCTTACGCCGTAAACCATAAACCCTAAGTCTGAAACCTTAAACCCACGGCCACAGGGTTCCTGAGTTTTGAGCCGTAGGCAATACTTACAGGGATTAGTTTGGTTTGATGAAGCAGTCTGGGCCGTTATCTCATCTTCTCTCGTGTGGAAGATGGCTTCTGTATGACTCAGCGCGCCAAGCTTTTGCCACAAGTTCAGAAGCCTCATAAAGAAGATCCAACCTTTCAGACGTACAGCAATACGAAAGCGTTTTAGGGCTCTGGGCAAAAAGCCTTGGTGACATATCCTTTTATGTACCCCAGGCTTCATGTTGCTGATGGGTTGCATGGTTCTCATATGGTACGAAGTCACCGAACGTTTAAGGGACTCCTGTGAAGCCGCAATTTGGGAATTTCTGTGTTGTACATGCTAGGAATGCAGGACTTGGGGCACAGAGGAAATAAATAGCCCAAATATGGTTACGTCTTTCATTTCCACTCTATCCGGGAAGGAATGAAGCAAAGTGATGATACGAAGGTTGGCCAGCCATCAATGCACGATCTTTCTGCTCCAAAGCACTGTGAACCCAGTCTTTGCATGCCTGCCCGCAAGGCTACCTGCCAGTACCAGAATTGCTCTTAGCATGAAATTTGGGCCTGGAGCAAAACACCAACACTGCACCACAGAGGATGTTGTGTAGTGCCCAGCTCAGAAAAGAAAATGAAGAAGTTAGCCACAAACTTTAGGTTCTCACCATGCATGCAAGAAGGTGAACATATTCCGCCAAAACCACCAAGTATTCGATGCTTTCGTGCTTAAGGCATATACTGGCAGGTAGGACCCGAGAACTGCGCGCTTTCCTACGCAGCAGCCTAACCTACGGACTGGCCAAGGGTGACGATCTAAATTTCACCCTCAGCCGAGTTTCGCGACAACAGACTAAAGTTGAGTGTGGAGGCTACATGATGGCCAGTGTAGAGAAGTGCTGATAAGAGCCACCAGACCTGAAGCTTCCCACAACTTGAGCCCGGCACCTTTCGGACGTGTGGCCCCAAATCACCGAAGTTGCTAGACATCGTCCATGGAGACAAATCATAAATTATTTCAGGTTCTGCAGCTATCTTCTTGGCAACTGTTACTTTCCGTGCTTTGCACTGCCTTCTGCCGCTTCGACTACAAATGAGCTAGAATCTAAACTCCTAGTATCCCCCTTAACAACCCTTTAAACTTTAATACTCCCCTATATGATCCCCTTCGAGGAGTTTAGACCATAGCCCAAATCATGATGCAAGGGCCCCAGACCTTGGTCCCTTTAGTTCCGAAGCTCTCTTTCGCTTGCTCTCCTTCCTGCTTACCCAAAGCCTCCTATGTAGTTCCTTTTTCTGTTTGTTATGGTTTCGTGGTAAGGTATTCTGCTGTACTACCCGCAACAGGACTACATAGGACCCTCGGGTACCTACAAGCCTCAACACTCAAGCTCCTGCGCTCAGAGTTCATCTGCGCTGGCGTCGCTCTTGGCAGTCTTTGAAGCTTTGGCGCCTATCGCAAAAGGTTTGCAGTTCAGCCTTAGGCTTATCCGGCCACTGTCCCTGACATACAGAAATATCTATAACAACATGCATATGTGAAAGCAAATGAGATAACAAAAGGAATTGAAATAGAACTAGTAAGAAGAGGAATGACAATAACGCATCGCTCGTCTAATCACTCTGCGCACAAGCTATCACAAGCCCTATCAAAACCATTACCAGTACGCAGCATAAGAAGAGACCGCAAGCCCTGTTGGGACTCCACAACATCACCCCGATCTCAGGAAACTCGCCAATCTGCTCGTCATCTCGCAAGCTGCCCTTCCCAAGTTCTACATCCCAACTACCTGCATCCCCAAACCCTGTAAATCCTATGCCTTATGATCTTGAGAGATTAGGAAAGTCGCGGACTGCTTCGGATTCATTCGTATTCGTAAGCATCGTGCATGGATGTAATAGGCCTCCTTGATCAGACATCTGTAGGAAGCTTCACGTGCAAAGAGGGCCTGACTCCTCCTCAGCCTTTTTGGCTCGGGCTGCCCGCGCCGCCTTTGCTTTCCTTCTGGCGTAGGGCGCCAGTGTCCCATATGTGGGGAGCAGTGAATCAAAACGGGAAGCTAAACAAGTTTCAAGTTAAGGCTGCTGGAGGTCCTGGGTTGAAACCACGCTTCAAGCTAGAGGCGAGATAGCAGCTGCAAACCAAGATAGGGCTGTCGAGCCTAGCTAGGTACTACCACATCACTGTACCATCAAGCGCCGGTGGAAATGTGTTTCCCTCTGATAAATCCGTCTGACTGGCAACAGATGTGAAACTACAACTGCGTAAGGGATCCATAAGCGGCCCCAAAGGCTAGAACCCCATGAATTACTGGGTCATCTTAGCCTAATGTCGCTTGATACTGTCCTCAATGAATCATCTTGTGAGTGGCCCATTGTTTCTCTCTCTGCCCAGAAACGGGGCTAGCCAAACCCTTTACCAAGAGGTATAACTACGATGTTGGGACAATTGGGGCTGCAGTTTTTTCGAGGTGGGGTCAACAAAATCCGCTAATTATCCTTGGGCTCCGGTCATTCTAGATATAATGAGTCGAAGCGAAAATAATCCATACATCTTCCGAAGCAATCTCTCCAAGAAACCTTACACCGGAAGCCTCAACCATTTTTTATGTAACCTTGCGAACTGCTAACGGAGCGCTCGAAGGCTTCTTTCTGGGATGCTTCCGCCTGCGATCACAGCTGTGTGTGTGGGGTGGAGGATGGAAGCGCTAGAGTTTAGGGAAAATGTCAGTGTCAGATCTCAAGCTTTTGGATTTCAGGCATAGAGTTTGGGAAGTTTGGGATGTAGTAGTTCTGCAGCACGATCTAATCGTGAGCTGATCCATGCCGCAGTTTGGGCTCCTGGCTTTGGACTTTTGGTACCTGGCATGGGAATTCTACTTGCGCACCCAGCTCGGGGCTCGTATGTCCCGATGTCTGCGGAATTCTGGCAGAAGAACGCAGGATGAGGGCTTCCTGAACTTCACATTGATCGGTAGATTGGCACCCCATGTAAGAGAGCTGTGCTGCGGCGCGGAACCCAAAGTCCGTAGGATCCTGCCCTAAACCACCCTTCATCATACCAGGTTTGGACGACGTTGATTGGGCAGAGGACCCAAGATAAATGATCCGTCAAGCCTAGACTCTCTTAGACCCAGCGGGGCCTTTTCCCTTTCCGCTGTCTCTGCCTCACGAAGTGCCTGCAGCTTAGCTGGGTGCACCCAGCACGACGCTGCAAGAGCACGTTGGAGCAATAACGTGTTAACAATTCCAAAAAAAATAAGCAGTGTTTCAAGGCTAGGCATGAGAATAGCGATGCTACTGGCAGCACTAGTAGCAATGCAGATGGGTCTCATTGATGAGATGAGCCAGCTTATCTGGAGGAAAGGCAACAAGAAGCGACCATTATTTGTTTAGTGCATGCGCTCGCGCTTCTGGCCAGTGCGGGCTTTGGACGGCAGACTCTCCGAGGTAAGGGAGCCTTTGGTTAAACGGTGGGACGACACAAGATGCAGACCGACTTGAGTATAGAAGCCAACAAGGCCCCCTCCCATATTCTTCTTGCTACTGGTTGAACAGACGTCACTTCGCCCATGCATAGACAATCCTGGCTAGGCGTGCTTGCGTAAACCAGCTTGCTCCCGTCTCTCTACACGCTCAACGGGCCCGGGAAGTAAGATAGCATTGCTCCTAAGAGGGGACGGAGCAACACGCAAAGAGGTTTTTCTCCGAGTTGGGGTCCCTCCACAAATCGCTACTTACCAGAAATCTCATTTTAAGGATGCAAAGTGATGAAAATGCATTGAAGTCTCTGTCCACTTCTTTGCGAAGTCATCCGCCTCTGCAAGGCTGTCCTCAGGTGATTGAGAGAACCTCGATAACTGGGGGTTTCTCATGCTTTCTCATAGCTACTTGGAGGGTCAGGGGGACTGTAAGTAGGTAAATTCATACAAGGGAGAACTGCGGTTACTATATGGGCTATAGAGGTTACAGTTACTCACCTACTTACTAAGTCCACCTGACCCTCCAAGCAGTGGTTGCCAAGCTTGCCAAGCTTTTTGTGGTATACAAATTTGCGGGGTAATAAAAAATGGCGGCGTTGCTAGCAGAGTCTAGCCTAACAAAGGCGCAGCGGCAATACTGCTCATAACGGAAGAGCAATTGCAAGTCGGCAAGTCGCACCAACGTACTCAGCACTGTAAACCGGGCGTCCCAGAATTGTTTTTCCCTCGAGCCGCCCTTGCAATAAATGTATTTCCCGCCTGTATGCGGAACATGTATTATCAGGGGGTGGGTGAAGAAATCAGAACTGATGCATAGAGCTAGAATGCTATCTTCTTGCTACACATTAACTGGTGGGCTTTTTTTATGCGCAACTCCGGGTGGACACTACAGATCATCATTGTACACAGAGAAGTTTGGCTTTCAAGCCTGAGTAAGGTTGGGAGTGTGGGACGCATTCTTTTGACCAGGCAGGCCTTATACCCTACACCTCCGCCTTGAAGCCGCAAACTGAGAACGCAAGCCTCAAATGAAAGACCGGAAAAGGGCTTCGGCTTCATGCGAAAGATTTGTGTGGTAGGTTTTAATCTTGTTTCTCCATGGAGGACAAAGAAATTCCCTATGAAACGCAAGGCCAGGCTCAGTGATGATGATGTTGTCGAAGATGGTGCCGCCCTTCACTTGCCAAACGTCAAAGCCTGCGGAACCGAAAGCTCATCTAAACTCAACTGCTCAGGTAACCGGCTGAACTGCCCCTGACACAGAGAACTAAATCCCCGGCAACGTGACGAGGACCCAATCGGAATGTAGCCTGGACTACGTCGCTCAGGCTTGCAGGAAGAACAAAATTCAAGACGGGAGTAGTGCTCATACAAAGTCCCTGGGTAAACCTTGGACGAGCTCCCCACGCTTGTACGAGCTTAGTGGGCCTGGCAAGCCGATGACCACACCCGCACCGTGTAGAGGAACCAAGTCTGGCCTACATAGCCAATGTTGTCGTACTTGTACAGGTCAGGGTTGTCTACGAACTCCTGGGTGAGACAGTATAAGGTCAGCATTATGCGGAATTCGCGGCTTCCCGCGAAACTGCACATGAATCATGCCTAAGTACTTGCACAGACAAGCAAAAGAAAGTCTTTCCCAAACCAAGTATCCTCACGCTGTTCAACGAAGGCTAACAAAAAGTGCAAGGCCCCTACGCGCATTTCCCAAAATCGAACTTCCCTTTGCATACTGTAAAACGCTGCAATCTCAATTTTAGGGACCAGCAACCACCGACCTCTGAATTCTGGAGGTTCCCGAATACTCCCAAGTTGGCAAATCTTTGAAGCATAGACCGGGGCGCAGGGTTCGGGATCATCTTGGCTTCCCAGGCCCCTCGATATGCTGGGTTGGCTATCATCCGCGGCTTCCATGCCTGCGACTTCACAGTTTAGGGTTCAGGACTCAAAGTTCAGGATCGATAGAGTTCAGGGTTAGGGCTTACAGCTCGTGCACCAAAAATGTGATCATGGTTGGTCCACTCACTGGGTTGGAGCGATCCCAAACTGTGCTGAAACAAAAATCTAGGGACCCCTTTGAACGCTGGATTATCGATCATCGGCGGCTCCCAATCTCCATCTTCATCATCATCCCACTCCTGATCACTGGACTGGGTCAACAAGAAAGGCTTCTTGCAACACCAGCTATCAAGTTTATGGGTTATACCGCTGCTACTGATCCGTAAGTGATTGGGCTTTCTGGTTGTTCCCTTTAGGAACACCTACACAGGCACAGAGGCCTGAAAGCTCAGGCAGGCAGCAGACCATGGCTCACCCTAACAGTAGCATCAAGTCAGCAAAGAAGCACACGCAAGTAAGGAGATCTGGTTTTGAGATCCATGTCAGGGTCTTTGAGTTGAACAACTTCACCATTAAACCCCAAGATCTCAGGGCTTCCTCCTAATGTTTGGAAGGGGCTTTGCAACACATCAGGGGTCCCACAGAAAGGCGTGTGGTAGTTCTGGGGTAAACACCGTGACCCCTGATTTAGAAAAAGGCCGAGTGATACTTCGACAGCACTGGGAAAGAGCGCCATGGATTGCTAAAACCTGCAGCCTCCACATTTGTCACGTATGACCCTCCTGCAGTAGTGAACCAACCCCTAACGATAATGAACATTCGAAATACACTGTCATTCAACATGGGAAAGACCATTCTTACGGGATTGGGAGTTTCATTGCAAGAGGAAGCGGATTACCCTACCATGCTCGCGTACGAGCTCTGTGTGAAAGTTGAGCCCTGACTACTCAGATTTGGGGTTTCCATACAGGGTGAGCCCCAAAATAAGCCCAAAATTTACCAATAGCCTTAGTATAGCATTATAGGGAATAATCAGCCACAAAATAGACCCAACATCTACTACAAGCCTTAGTGTAGGAAAGCCCCAAACACGAAGCCCTAATTTTTGGAAACCCTAAACCCTAATCCCTAAACCCTATATATCCCCTTTCGTCCCCATATGCCCCTATATAACCCTACATGACCCCTGTTAAACCCTATATACCCCCCCTATATATAACCCCTATATAAACCCTAACCAACCTCTCCTCAGGCTTTGTAGCTTGGGAATCGACGATCTTCGCCTCTGAGGGTCTACCGGGTCTACTGCATGGATCATCTGCGCTGTTAAGGTTCAGGGCTTAGGTGTCTTCTTTCTGAGCTCTGTTTCACCAGAGAGATTTAGAATCTTTCTTGCAGAGCTTGAATAGTCAAGACAAGAGCGCCATCATTTTGAGCTGCCGTCCAAAGTAAGGGTCCCTAACATCGACCGCTTCCCCGTGGGGTCCCCTTAATCGAGATCACATGTTGCAAAATCCCATATGTGTGTACCCATATGTGTGTGAGTACTGATGGCCCTTCAAAGCACTGAAAACAGCATCACACGCCATTACAGGAGCCCAGGTTAGACCTTAGATTTTGGAAGCCGCCATTTCACCTCCTTGGCCCCCTTGTTGAAAATGTGTCATTTCATAAGCTTAGCCGATGTGCTCCAACTCCATGGATGGAGGTTTACGGGCCTATGTTCGAAAACCCATTAAAGATATTATTCCAGCAGCAAATAAGACAAGCCATGCAAACAATGGAAAAAGCGCGACAACGACAAGTATGCATTCTCACGTCCGAAGCCTCCTCTGAAGCTCCAAGTCCTTTTGGGGCGTAATGCACAAAGCGAGGTTGACCAATGAATCTTGAGCCTGGCGATTCTGAAGAAACACGTGGCCTCCTTGTGTGGATGCAAGAGTCGTCTTGCGTGTAGCCACCATATGCACAAAGTCTACCAAATATCGTATTTCATGCTCGGTGCCCCATCGCCTGAAATTCCATTCTCAAGTTCTTTTGGAAAATCCCTCTAAACCAAAATAACCCCAATACACTACAGTAGTTTCCATTTTCTTTTCCATTATCCCAATATGACCCCAATATACATTGTATATAATCCTCTAGATGGACCCCCCAACATCCTCTTGATGCTTTCATTAATCCACAGTTATCATGCTATCAGATACAAATGTGCGGAGCTAGACTTGATGGTCCAAGTATTAGGGCATGCAGTTTAGACATCATGCTTCACTGCTTTTCTGATCCGTATTCCAAGGTAGTAAGACCTCTTCGGCACAGAATTCAAAAGGAATCTGGCGAGCTGCGTACGAAAATTGTTGATGCGACACATGGGTATTGCTTGTGGGCTCCCAGTTGGACACCCAATATCAGCACGTACCAATATTCCAAAGCAACGCCATCTACACTCACCAAAAACCAAAACACCTACCGCATATAGAATATAATCCCTGCAAACCACCATATTATAGCTGTTTCCATTTCATTTTCCGTTTGATCCTCCGTGATTCCCTACTTCTTGTCGTTTTCTGCCTTCTCTGCCCAGTCGGCGGGCTTCGTATCGGAGGGATCCGGGATCTTCTCCTGTTCAACCTCTGGGCCAAACCCTGAGCGTCCAACTACCTAAATAGCAGATCACACAGCTGAGGGTTTATTCAGGGTTTGGGGCCAAAGTAACCATGACCTACTTGAGCACTGATTTTTCACTATTTTGGGAACTGGGCCCTTAGCCAATCAAAGGGCACAGATGGGATGTGGCCGGAAGCTTGTAATAGGCAGTTTGCAGCGGACTATTATATAAGCTTGGAGCTTGTTCATGTGTTGTGGCACCTCAGAACAGCCTTTCTGCATGTTCTTAATGGGACGTGGAGGCATCACTCCGCTTTGGGCTGACGCTGGTCTCAACTAAGATTTTCCCAGAAAGAGGGCCCTGCTAGCTTCCGGGACTTTAGTAGTCCCTTGGAGCCTTCTGATAAGAAGTTTAGGGTCTACGGGTTTTGATTTCCGTGCAAACCTACGCGATGACCTCTTTCAGAACCAAGCCTTCACTCGACCGTGCCACTTTTCTTGCACCTCCCCGGCCAACTAATGCACCGTCCCAACACTTTGCGCAGCCAACGGACCCAATCTTCGGGCTTCTTGTCGCTGGGATCCGGGATATGTCTTGCAGGCAGCATGTCCCAATCCTCCTGTGACTGCACAAACTTTTGTGGGTTCCTTACGGCTTTAAGGAAGCTCCATGTGTGTCAGGGCGCCCAATGCTCCTTGAGACAAAACCCTTGAATCGCCTTCAGATTCCAATGTTCTTGCCGCTATTCAGTCTCTCTTGGTTCCTCTAGTCAAAGATGCCACACAAATTCTGAGAGACGTGACTTAGGGGGGCATTGCGGACTGATGTCATGCGACACCTTTATTTTCTCATACACTGCTCGCTTGAGGGTGTGTTGGGTGTATATGAGGTGCCGTATCACCCCATACAATCCCCAACACAAACCTCAAAGAATGCCCTTGCAATCCATCATATGTTTTTTGGAGTCAAGGTCTCCAGCCTCCCCCTGTTTTGAGAACCACCCCAGTGTCTGTATAGGCCTCCAGGAAAAGCTGGAAGTCTCATTTGTAATGGATCCCCTTCGATTTAGTCTCTAAGACAAGGGATCGGTTTTGCATGCATGTAAGCAGCCCCATACCCCGGGAAAGTATAAAAAAGATCCTTAATGTAGACCCAGGCAACGTTTGCCATAGATGGACCCCGCTTGCGATCCCTGTAGCTTGTCCAAAAAAATAGGAGGCGACCTTTGGATCATGAACGTGCGATTGATCTGACTTCACAAGATATTGAGGGGTTTAGGGGTTTTAGAGGTTTAGGGTTTAGGGAGGCATCAGAAGCTGGAAAGCGGTCCTTCAAAGATCCATCGTAGATCTTCTCTCCATCGACCTACACGTTCAGCAAATCCTACCCACTAGGACCCACTAGCCAAAGGTAAGTATTACAATCCCTATAAACCCCTACATAAACCCCTTTTCATCTAAGTTTCCATTTTCCATGTGATTCTCCATGCGGTAATATCCCAAAACCAGTAGAGGCCAACCTCCATTGTCTAGGAAGTCATTCAGAGTGCAGCTTGCCTGAAGCCTAGGACTCCATGAGGTTCAGATCTGCTAGCAGCTATCCAAGAACCTTTAGGTTGTCCCAAAAAGCATGTGGGGTTGTATAAAAACCCCG